GTGATTGTCTCACTTTCAGCCTTCACACCGATTCGCAAGCGTAGGCTAACAGGGTGAGAGTCTCGATGACTTCGTCGGAGTACCATTATGGAATTTTTCCCGCTGTCCACACTAGATTTGACAACTAATACCGCACGCGACTGACCATTAATCGTTGTTGCAGTCTAAAGCTACTCATTCGCCTCCAATGGACCTCTGCTTGTATTCTACTTAGCACACGTGCCAACAACGCATCAAATCCTCATCATCCGTGCTCGTTCTGTTCATTCGTTATTCTCATACACATCAAAAACTCATGACTCACTTGGTTTTTTAAATGAATGAGTAAATTTGATTGGTAGTATCCGTGTCTAGATGTGCCTGTCACTCTAGCCACCATGGAGACAGCCACAGGACGCCTGCGTCTACAGAGGAACTATGGGTGGCTTGCGCTGCACCACTCACAGTTTCATCCACACACTCATATCCATTGCAAACCCGAATGAATAAGCCTGGGAGGTGTGTGGATGCGGTCCACACTCTTTCAACATACACAACAGCAGCATTCCCATCTATCTAATTTGGGGATCATGCGTACCGGACGTACACATCATCTTCATCATCATTATATACGTTAGCTGCAGGTGGAAAGCACCTCAGCTATTGTGCCGCACCGGACGTACACAAGTCGGTGGCTGAGCAGGCATTACATTTTACACGGAAAGTTTTATATGTTAAGCGTGCGTTCGACAGATTGACAGACAGTCAATGGAGTTTAGCCCGACGGATACGACAAAGCACATCATTCGCATCGTTGGCCTCGAGCTTGGCAACTGCACAACGGCATTGCGAATGCAGGATGACCAAGTATACTCACATGCATTTGTCAACACTTGTGTTTGAACTACCACCAACATCCATATTCATCAAGTTATGGCAAATCCCACATGCTGGTATAAGCACCCAATTAGAAATGCTAGTGCTTAGACGTGAACCTAAGTGATGGCCTTAAATTTAGTCAGAAGCCTGGACACAAATACTGCATAGATACATATATGGGAATAGGGAAGCACATGCCATCAATACGGTTACAAAGTGCGATGATACGAAAGGTACGGTACAACACTGATGACTTATCGTTAGTGTGTATTGTACATGCGGTTTCCTACATGTGAAGTCGGGTTTGCAACTGATGGAGGTCGCGGTGTGAGAATGCGACGGAATGTTAACCGCAGTCTCCGTGTCACTGCTTAAGCCTGAACCGGTCCGATCGTATCCTAACCGTTTTATGTGCGGATTCCCGAGGAACGTCACTTTCTATAATGTAAGCCTTAGCAGTTTCTAATGTCACACACTCCTTGATTGCCTCTTTAGTGCCACCACGACAATAATACAGCATATACGTACCCACTGTCAGACATTCGACTTTTAAAGAGGTATTCAAATTGTTTAGCAAAATTTCCTAAAAGTAGCGTGACTGACATCAAACTACTTTTACTCAACCATCCACAGATGTGGTTGTGTACTCTGCTGTGGCGATAGTCTGTTAGCCAACGATTTCTCTTCGTGCATTTCGGGTGCAGCCATTCAGCGCTCTTCGACAATTGCAGCTGTGCACTGGTTCCTTCTGATGCAACCGGAAGCCACTAACATACCATCACATCTCATCTAACCTACTTCTAAGTCTTCCCAGGAGATTGATCATTTATACTACAACTACTAGCAGGCGCCTTTGCGTTTTCACCTCTAACCATGTTGGTAGCAACATTCTCATAAGCTAAGCTAAACTCAGTTCGTCGGAAAAATGACAGGAAATATAGCCGTGCACACTCATGACAAATATGGGAAACTGTGCATGCAACCTCAATATCATCGTGAATATATATATATATATATATATATATATATATATATATATATATGCCCCATGCTGAGACTGATGTTGCATTCTTGATGCTTCTTCACCGCAGTTGGGCTAAACCAACTTACACTTAAACTAGGTCCTTTTAAGCTGGATAAATTTCATTCCACTTTATTTGGTTTGTTCTGCCTACCTGAATAATGTTCTATTAACTGGCCACGTTGCTTACACTAATTGCGCTTATCTTCGGTAATTATTTTGCGTTCGCAGCATTTTTAAGTAATTTGCGGACATTTTTTCCTTATCGCGGAATCGTTGCTAACCAAATTGCTTCATACGGTAATTTAGCGAAGAGTTATGTCACCGTATCTGTATGCATTATTGGATTTATTTTATTTCAACTTGTCGTTTAAAGCGAATGGCTGTTGTTTGATATCCCTGGTATGGTTGCGCTTGATGTGCATGTTGACAAGGTGCCTACCTGTCTATTACCCACTACCTCGTTCATACTGGCTCTATGAGACAGTTGGTCGTTGCTGGAGGGGACAGGGCGCACGGTCCTTTTTGGCCGTGCTAGGCTCGAAGAGTGGTTCCATGCACTCAGTGTGGAGCGAACTACGGTCCAGCCACCGCCTTGTGTGCGGTTGATTCCCCAAATACAACGTGTTTGTGTTTGCCTGTGAAGGAGTGTGGGCCGGCTCCGTTGATGAAACGTGGTTCCCATCCGCATGCCTCCCGGTCTTATTCCTTCGGGTTTACACTGGATATGGGGTATGTGGTTGGAGCTGTGGTTGGCGTAGCGCAAGCCACCCATGGTCCCTCTGTAGGCGCAGGCGTCCAGTGGCTTGCCACAGTGACAGGCAAATCCGAAACCGGATGCCGCCAACCATATAAATCTCGGCGGAGAACTCAAATTCGGGATCTGGAATGTGCGCACACTACTGGACAGGAATACAAATGAACGCCCTAAGCGACGCACTGCGCTGGTCGCGATGGAACTCGCGCGCTACGGGACAGATATTGCCGCAGTCATCAAAACTCGGCTGACTAACTACGACATGCATGAGGATGGTGCTGGGTACATGTTCTACTGAGTTCTAAACGCCACTAGAGCACAACTTGGACTAGGGGCCCGCTTTGCACTATCCGATCACCTAATTGGTCACCTGATGGAAGAGCCGACTAGCATCAATCCAACATCAATACCGTTTTGCCTACGCCTTGGACGGCGTAATTTTGCGACTTTTATTCGCACGTATGGCCTCACCATGTGTTATCCTAATGACACGAGGGATCAGTTCTACACTCAGTTGTCCTCCGTGATACGGTCTGCGCCAAGAACTGACCGGGTAATCTCCGCGCGCGTGTCTGGCCTGATGCCGCGGTGTAGATTGACGTCACCGGTCCGTATGGTGTGAGTATAGACAATGGAAACGGTGCCCGGTTGCTCTTACTGTGCGCCACTCACTGCCCGACAATTACTAACACCCTGTTTGTACTGGATTGGATTGATATAGCTACTTGGACTCAGCCACGGAGTGGTTACGCTCACCTGCTGAATCTGTCATCGCAAGCCAGCGTGACATGCACGAAGCGCGCACGACGCACACTGGGTGCAGTTGAGTGTGGAACTGATCACATGTTACTACGGACCAAATCGTGTATATATTTTCGTACATCCATGTATTCTTTTCTTACCGTTTATTTAACGTTCTTCCCCTTGGTACTGCTGAGGAGAGGATAGAACTGGCGAATGGCCACCCTCCTTGGCGATGTATAATCTATCACCTCAATGGACGACATGTGGCACAGATCTGTGAACAGCTGGCGGCTGCAGCCGAATGAATCATCAAGCGCGCAGACTGTAAGCGGTCCGATTGATTTGTGTGACCATTAGCGCATTGGTCTCGGATAAGAATACAGCCTTCGCTGTACATGGATGACCATGCTGACTCCGAAAAGGAGAGTCACTTTCTCAAATAGCGTTCACGATTGACTAGGGAGCTCTGTCACATCAAAAGAGAAAACAGATAGATGGAATATAACACCAAATGCCGTTAACATCATACCTTGTGGGCAATGTATGGACGCATCTTGCAGCCGCTATTGATGTTAGTGGCCACTAATTTAGCTGCTCCTTGTACAGATTACAGACATTACGCAGCTGTGATATCATAAAAAACAGCAGTACATCATCTATTTGAACTGATGCTTTACTGCTGTACAACTGCATTAGCCTACGGAATGAAGAATAATAGGAAGCAGAAGCGGGACAGCATAAAACCCTAATATCTTAAGCAAGCGTTCAGAGTCAAGGTGCCTGCACCTTCTCAACAAGACACTGTCACAGTTTGGTGCTGAGTTACTTGCGGAGTAATGGCTGGGGCAATCGAATCCGCGAGGAAACTGTCTCTCTGGTACCGCCTAATTTTTCAGATATGACGCAATCGCTACCACTGTCTTCTGAACTACCGTCCAGAGATTTCCTTGGGTATATTGCACGAACTGCAACAACAAGATGGACTGAAAACAGCGACCCGCAGTGCTACATGCGTTGCACCACTTGGTGGAACGTGTGTGCTCTTAAAAACAGGTGCCAGCTGAGCTGAAGAATGTCAGTGTGCTACCACTGTACAAGGGCAAAGCGCACAAGCATTGTACCAAAAATACTTGTGGCATCAACTTGCTGAGTTACACTGGGAAGATACCTACTTGAATTCTGCTCAACTGTCTCGTCACTCAGGTCCTTGAACTAAACATAGCTAAAGCGCAATGCGGATTCCGTTCGGGCCGCAGCACCATGGATATGGTGTTACGGCTCGTTACTTGCGGAAGAAATGCTGTGAGCGAAATCGGCCATTGTATTCGCTTTTTGTCGACATTTGACACTGTGACTGGAGTTGAGTAACTTTTATTATCCTAGTTTGTTCTTTTTACTGAATGCCTGCACACTGGTATGCGGGCAAGGGTGCAGCATTGTGGACATACCTCGTATGACTTTGATGTTTGGTGTGAAGCAACGCTGTGTTTTAGTTCTCTTCCCGTCTACTACTTGCCTAACACAGGATGTTCAATGCTTTTACTTCTTGTGTTTAAGGTTTCTTTATCGAGCGCCGTATTTATTGTGGCTTACTGAACATCCAATGTTTTGTGGTGAGAACTCCTGTGCGTGAGACAACCATCCAGGTGTTGATTTTTTCGGTGACGGCGCGTTGTTCGTACCGAGTGTTGCAACGTATAGCGATGGCTCTCACCTCGGCGGCGGCTAAGTTCGGACTCACTATCAACACAAGCAGTGCTGTTCGTCTTTTTGAACCTTCACAAAGCAACGGAATCCTTTTACTACTCGCAAACCACGATTTCAGATGAAATTTTGGAGACATAGAGAATTTACTACTTCTGAAGCATGCTGTCATCGGGCCTGCAGATGACGAGTGAGCTGCGCATCCGCGTATTGAAAGCAGACGTCACATTTGATGAGCTGGAAAATCGTGCGTGGAGGAATCATCAGCTGACCGTTTGGACGAAAATGGCGTTGTACAAGTCGATGGTGGTTTCCATTTTTCCTTCCCACAGCGAAACTAGCCATTGACCATTGAAGTCAAAATAAGCTTTATCCACGAATATGGGCATCTTCTCAGTATTTTGCACCGAAACTGTGGATATAGTACAACAAAGCGTCAATGAGAAATAAATTTTGACAGCAATAAAATTAAAATTTGCATCCTCAATCAAGCACACAGTCATACAAGCAGTGTTTCATTCCTGGTGGCTCGACTAGTAGTCCTGATAGGTAAGGCAGGATGGAGTTTCAGTACGACAAGATACGAAAAGGTTTTCCTTTCTGCTCTCTACAAACCAATGGAAATATAAACATTTGTATTTCAACCATGTGGAGGAATTGGATATTGTACTGGCTAGGATTATGTAAAGAATGGAAGTGATCGTTAAGATTCCCTAAGGAAAAGTTGATGCAAGCATCGAAATGTTTGTTAACGATAAAATCAACAAGCGGATTTTTCCTAAATCCAGAGCAACGAGAAATACATTTAAGCGAATAGACAAAAATGACATGATCTTCTTGAACAATTCCTGGACAAATAACAGGAGAACAGTACAATCCGTGAGAATTAAAGCACAGGAAACGAAAAACATTTCAAACCTGCGGGCGTCGAAAGAAAGCCCACTAACTTTTTCTAACAGTTTCAAACTAAATGTGTACTAAGGTATATTGTGAGATGGAATAAACTCCGAGATGCTGTACTGCAAAAAGCAAGGCATGGTTTGATCATGTAAAATCAAGGGAGAAGAGTTATGTACTGGGGACCACAGTCTTTGGCGATATAGACAATAGCATTTTACGTCACAACAGTTGGAAGGGCTGAGAGATGGAGACCAGGAGCTCGACCAAGTCACCAATTTATCTAAACCACGTTTGGAGTTTCAAAGACTCGTTAATGATTGGGGTTATGTAACCTAGAACGACGTCATCAGCATATTTACAGCTAATGAAGTTCGACACAGGCGAAAAATCAAAAAGGGGATAGGATGGCTCCCTGCAGAATGCTACAGTTAGCTGGGAGTGCAGAAGACTTTCTGCCGCATAGCTGCATGAAGTGTGCGTTTTGTGAAGTAATCACGCATCACACTGCAAACATATGGGGGCATCATCTTCGGACAAAATGTTGAGCAGTAATGATCTGTCAAGGCTCCCAAAGTCGTTGATATTATCGGGAAATTGGATCCGTGCGCAATGAAATGCACCATCTAAGAAACGGGATCCAATTTAGAGCACCCTGGTTTATAGGCAAGCTGTTTGACATCCTCCATATGCGGGGCTCAGTAGTTTTTCCAGTTCATTCAATAGCACGGACGTATACGCATTTGGCCGACATATCCAAGATCCTTCTTTGGGCACTGGTGTTATTCTGGCTAATTTCCACATGTAGATGATGGTGCCAGTCGTTAAGCACCGGTTCGAGATCTCTATCAGTGGTGTCTAAGCCATCTGCACATTGTTTCAGAGCGACTGCTGGTTGAGCATCCGGGCCATTAGCTTTGTTTTCTTTCAGTCTTGTGAGCTCATTGTAAACTTGTGAAATTAAATAGAGTAGGAGACTCTGTGCTGATGGTTAAAAGTAGGGGCAGTGTTTTAAGTGATAAGGAGCTGAACTCAGCCTTTAGTTTGTCTGTACCCTCGGTGCTGAGTGTTATGCAGGAATGTCTTTCAGAGAGTTGTCTTAAGAGTCTTCACAGGTCACAGCAACTATGGTTGGTTAAAACGGTCCTCCGCAGTTGCTTGAGCAATAGAGATGAAAATCTATCATTTCGCAAATAAGCCAGCACATGTCAAAACAGAAGTTAATATAGCCAGTGAGGTGCTGGCATTAAGGTGGCAGGTCTTCACTTTTGAAAGAAAATCGTTCGATTAACATGTTGGTTTATCCTTTCCGATGTTATCTACTCAGTAGTTCCGTCGTTTAACAGTTCTTGACGATCTTTTTCTTAGCGCAACGTAGTTGGCCTTGTTGTATGACTTGGGACATATCTTTACCATGCAATAGTCGGAATTATCAAGAGAAACACGCTTTTGCGGGAAAAGATTTTGTTTTTTTATTAACAACTAAATCTAGACGCGCATCTAGTCTGTTTGGTAATTTCACCAAATTGGATTACTCCATCGTGTTAGTGACAGCTATGTCACTCCTGTCGCAGTCGCTGGCGAGAACACAGATGGAACATTCTAACTTTGGTTGCATCTCCAAGGCGAGGTAATGTGCAAACTGCAGCTTGAACAGTGCTGTGTCCGGAACTACATGCGCGTTTAATTAGGCAGTTAGAAAACCGTTCGGAAACCCTGATTTGTATCCCATTAGGTTACAAATTATGCATATTGTTCGGCACGACGATATTTTGAAACAGATTTACACCAATCTTCGCTAATGACACCGCGATGTTCGTTCTCTCCTGAGAGATCGGATCTAATTTGGCGGTCTCCATTGGGGCTGACGACTTCCTCATCGATGTCAGAATGTACCCAACTTTCCCGTAGCACCACTACATATGCATACATAATTTCTCTTCGCTGAAAAATGTTCGCTAGGTCAGCAATTTTCCAGAGATATGCTCGTATATTTATGGACACCATAAACGGAATTTGTACCTTGCTCACTGAACAGCGCTCGAGTACTACTTGCCGGCCCGTACGATCCTTTTTCTTCTTTTTCTAATCTTTTCATGGCAATTCCCTTGAAAGTATATTTGATCTTGCGGCCGCTCTCATGGTTTCGAAGATAAATCAAGTCATCAACAGAGCATGACAACATTTGTGACTATGTAATTGGTTCACTTGAAAAAGCGGTAAAATAATTTATGAATCCGCAGCGTCTAGTGCAGAGCAATATCCCCATGATAATAGCACCGATCGAATTTGAAAGCCCCGCCTGTGACATCAGATATTTGTAGCACCTTCATCAACTGTACTGGCGTCAGATTCTGTGCATCCGTTGGTATGACAGAATTGCTGACACGGAAGTGCTTTGCCGAAGTAGACTATATACTTCTGCGACACCTAAGGTTACTCGAGCATATCCGTTCTATGGATTCGACTGGAATACCGAAGCTTTTGCTGTAGGGCCAGCTTAGTGCTACGTTATTTGGTGAGTTTATCACGAACTAATTTTGAGTTCAGGGGGTGATAAGCAATGGCAGTGGGTCGTCGATAATGGCGTGACCACGTAAAGAATGCGGTTACCCAGGTGCGCCAGCAAGCGTGGTTGCATTAGAAAGAGAAGCACATGTCACGGAAGGCACAGGCGCCGGTGAAGTCTGGCCCATTGACGTCAATCACATGGTGTTGTAACACATGCGGTCATGTGTGTCAGCCAAACTAGTCTGGTACACCATCAACTTAGCCACTGGGGGCCAATATCGAAGAGGCGACGAGTAAGCTGAATAGGTAAGTGTCATTATCATCAGCAGTAGTTGAGAATAATCCTCTCTATCTTCTCGCAGCGTGGTCACCATATGCTCATTCGAACCGGCTTTACCAACTCTACACAGTGATCCATCATACGTGGCGTTATCTTTTGCAATTAAGATCCTGGTAATTACTAACAGATTTAACTGTCATCCAGGATTGAACACAAGCGCATAACACATGCACTTTGTACCGATTGCCCTTCTGTCTAACACCATTTGGTACAGAATTCTCTAGGCAGTCCGCAAAGCATAAGTTTTTCCAATCCGATGTTTTTCAACGCAGCTGTGTAGAGATTTGTGCTCCCTCGACTTTTGTTAAGCGTTATATTTAGATTCATTTACTGGGTTCCAAACCAGTTGGGCCTAACATCGATCAATTAACCGATCAGCACTGAAACGTGTGTTTACTAGGGATCACTGGTGACAGCGAGCGCGCCACAACATGCTGACTCACGCTTATCGTTGACGCGGGAAGTTGCACTGACTGATCATACGACATACGCATGACCTTAAGACTGCACGCCTTCTGCGAACATGTCTCGCGTTAAGAGTGAGTGCGAATTAGGTGTTAATGGTGAAGAGTGGGCTAGTGTGCACCGGTTGCCTGAAAACCTATCACATTAAGTGCCTTGAGTTGGGGCTGATAAAAACGAGGCGACATAATAGCACGATATATACGTTTTGGTCCGGCCAAGTATGCAGTACTATCTCAGTTGTTAGATGTCTAACTGTGCCACTGCAGAAGTGTGCAAGACTAACAGTAGCGGTCCAGCAACTGATTAACGCCAGGCTTACACATATTGGAGGAAACGGACCCGCAATTGCATGTGAAAACACCCCCAAATTCCTCATTCAGACCGAACAAGAGAGTCAGGGGTCCAAACATTTCAGTCTCCACTAGTAACGACTCCTTTCTCTCTCTCCCTAAGTAAAATATTGCGTGCAGCATGCCTGCTTCAACTTATCTACAGTACGTTACACCTAGTAGTTTGTTGGCCATACAGGAGACCCTGTTGCAGTCAACTAGCCATAGTAAGGAGCCAAGTAACATAAGCATCGGTTACTGCCAAACGCACGTCGGAAAGAGCACTGGTAACCTTGGTGGCCGGACTAGAAAACACTGAAGTATCGCAGCACGGATGGCTTCCATCAGTGCCGTTCACAAATTCACCAAAAGCACCGGAAACTGATGCTACAAAACCAGTAGTCACCAGGCGCAACCATGGTGCCTTAAACCTTGTGTGCACTGATGTCCCCGAATCCAACTTCAATACAATTGAGAGTAGGCTGACAGACGATCGAAATCAATGGAATTCTATCAGTACAACGATCGATGTCCATACTGATTCCACGATATTTAAACCTATCTCACGTCACCCAAACGCACTGCACTACTGTGAATCTCGATTACTTCGGGTAACACTAAACTCATTCGATGAGACAGGAGCCGTCCTGTTGTCTGCGAATCGACTCCGCAACGACTCAAGTGGAGTGCACATACTACCCGACAGTAAAGAATTCATTTATTTAAAATCCTGTGCAAAATATCCGGGAACTGGTAAAACATAA